ATCATTGTAAAGTCGTCGGTTTTGCATAGAGCAACAAATAGATGCTTTACCCAACCACGTATCTTATAAAGAGGGATTATTCAGGACATGCCAAAAATTTCTGTTTATTTTAAATTTCTTATCAAGGGATTTAATTTGGATACATTACTTTAAGAATAGGTAAAAGACACTATATGAATATGAAGGAAATGTTGCATGCATATTTTGCATGTCAGTTACTTTGTGCTTGAGAGAGAAAGTATAGCGACGAAATGTCAAGTCGATTCGACAGGTGGAAGTAAAATAAATATTTATTTTATAGATGAATAGAGTAGATAATTTTTCGCTATAATTTATAAAATACATTGGTAATTTTTACGAGAGTTAACGAAACGGCGAATGTTACTGTGAGGACAGTATGCAGACTGCAAAAAGAAGGAGGTTGTTAAATCGATTGTATTCTTTTGTGTGTGTATGTTACGCGAGAACTCAGCATTTACGAACTGATGATTCTTTTTTTGTTGGAAAGAGGGTACCTCAGTATTAGTCCCACTTAAATTTACAGAAAATATTCCACCTCATACGCCAAACTAGGGCTGACTCCGGTTTCGCGCACTTTCCGATAACCGATTTCAATAACACTTGGCAAATAGATGTAATTTCACGAACTTTTGAGGTCGGTTTTTTTAATAAATTTAATAATTTATAATCCCTTGACGAGAATGTGCCGAACGTATAATGAATTAATAGCATCAGAATCTGGAGGTCTCATTGATGTTTTTGACAACAACATCTACAGATTTCGTAACAATATTCAGAAACACTTCGCCTCGTCTTCTCATTAGTCATCATTATATATAATCAATATATCAGTATTTATATTTATACTAGTTTTTAAGCTTTTATATATTATTTCATTTTTATCCATATTCACATGTTTGAGAAACTGTTTGCTTACTTTTTAATAGTAATGTTTACGAGTTGAATGATCATGCTGTATGTACATATGTTAGGTTCACATCCTAGATTAAAACCATAAATTGTAACATTTATTGGAGTACCATTGAATGTAAACTGTTTTGTGCATCAAATAAATAAATAAATAAATAAAGAAAGTTACAATTTTTTTTTATAATAACGCACACACTCATCATAGCCCCGCACTAGGGAAACCCTGTGTCGCGGTTTTTTTTTTTTTTTTTTTTTTAATTAAAAATGGACGTACTCTTGACCACTACCTAGCCCTAGAGCAAAGATGAGGTCTACGTTGGTACGAGCTCGCCCAGAAGATGCCTATTCAATCGCACCTTGAAAATATTCGGGTTGTATGTACTCGGAAAAATAGACGCAGGCAGGGAATTCCAGTCACGGGCTGTGCGCATTATAAAAGATGACGAAAAGCGCTTAGTACGTCTTAAAGGAATATCAACCAGGTGAGGGTGATATCCCGCCGTTCGTCTAGATGTCCGATGGTAAAAGGGGGCGGATGGAATGAGCTGGTGGAGCTCATGGGCACACTCTCCGAAGTATAATCTGTAAAAAACCGACAGACCCGCGACCTTTCGCCGATGGGCTAAACTATGAAGTTTATATTCGAGCTCATCGTCTCCAATAAGCCTCCTGGCTCTGCGATCAATCGAGTCAAGAGCCTCTAGTTGGTATTTCGCTGAGCCATCCCACAGGTGACTGCAATACTCCATGCAAGACCGGACCTGCGCTTTATATAAGGTTAAAAGCTGTCCAGGCGAGAAGTATCGCTTCACCTTGTTAAGGATACCCAGCTTCTTGGCTGCAGTTTGCGCTTTAGACTCTATAGAAGCGCCAAAGTTGAGGTTTGCGCTTAATGTCATGCCAAGAAGCTCTAGGCGGTCGGTAACTGGGACAGATACACCCCGAAAAGTAGGAGTCAGATCAAATGGACTCCTTTTTGCGGAAAAAAGACAGGCCTGCGTTTTGGTGGCGTTGAAGCTGACCAGATTGTTGTCACCCCACTGGGCAACAAGACTTAAGGTCAGGTTCGTTCGCTCTACCATAGCCTCTCTCAGCGAACGAATATCTTCCCTGCCGTCTCTTGCGCTAGACAGATATCTCTCGGTAACTGTACTGTCATCTGCATACCCAACTATACCCGGGACCAATAGGTCATTGATGTGTAGCAGGAAAAGAGTCGCCGAGAGAACAGACCCTTGAGGAACTCCAGCATCAATAGCCATCAAGTCAGATGAGCAGCCTTCAATGACTACTCGAATCGACCGTTCCCCAAGGAAATCTGATATCCAGCTGCAAAAGTCGGCAGCCATGTCGGCAGGGTGCCATGGACGCACACATAGACAACCGAAAATTACACCCAAACTAACGAGATAAATAAATATAGGCCATACAATGATTTCTCCCGACCCGGGAACCGAACCGTTCGGCCACAGAGGCAGTAATTGTACCTTAAATTCAATTTAATTCAGTTGTTAATTATTTAAATTCATTATCTTTTAAATAATAATTTTGTTTTCAAAATTTGAAATATATTTTCTAATTTTAAATTATTAATGGGTAACCTAAAGAAAGAAACATTTTATTTTAATTTATTTTATTTATTTATTTAAAGAGCTAACGGTCTTTGAACAGCTGCACGCCTGTTTATCAAACATAGCTACAAATCGTCCCGTATAAATTAGGCTTTAAATAAAAAAAGACACACAGATACATAGAAAAAGGTTTCAAACATTAAAACCCCTCTCTATGAGTCGAGAGATAAAAAACATAAACAATATTAAACGATGTGGCATTCATAACATTTTTTGTGTATCAAGTCCTTGTAGGTGCGTCTAGAATCAACGAACAAATCTGTCATTAAAATATGATTGTACTGTCGCACGACGTAACCTTGTGAACCCTGTGTTTTGTCCGTAATTAGATGAGTGTTATAGAAATTACACTAAATAGACGCTTATATCTTGTATGATAATGTGGAACCGAAAATACAACGTGCGGCTACATTCTGATCTCTATGTAACAAATTTTCAAAAAGGTTCTGCTTTTGATTGGACGTTATTGGTTTTGTTGTATTTTTTTTATTGCACCAGTGTTGTAGCACATAATTTTTTATGAACTAAGTGAGCTTTCTCAACATTAGCCTTGTAAACATACATACATATACTTCACGCCTTTTTCCCATCGGGGTAGGCAGAGACAACAGTCTTCCACTTGCTACGGTCCTGACACACATCTTTCGCCTCATCAACACGCATCAATGCTTTCATACACGCTCGTCGGTTAAGGGTACTCTTGACCTGGCCCTTCTTTAGGATGGCCTCAATTTGGTCATGATAAGTTCTCCTTATTTTAATAATAGCCCATACCAACTTGCCCGCTCACACTCGCCTTATAAATCTGTCTCGTCACTCTTCTTTCATTCATTCTCTCTACATGTCCGAATCATCTAAGCATCCGTTTCTCTATCTTTGTCACTATATCTTCTTCCACGTCGCAACGCTCTCTTATCACACTGTTCCGTAATTTATCCATCCGAGTCACTCCAGCCATACTCCTCAAAGCTCTCATTTCTACCGCATTAATTCTGCTTTCATGCTTCTTCTGCCAAACCCAACATTCACTACCATACATAAGTGTAGGAACCAACACCCCCCCCATGCACAGCCAATCGTGCCTTTTTAGACACTTTCTGGCTGCCCATGAAGGTATATATAGCCTTGTAAAGACATTGAAAAAACGTAAAAATAAAATTTAGAAGACGTTGACTAAATTGAAAGATTAACAAATAAAATAACAAACAAACAAGATAAGATGTTTCATCATCTTAAAATAATATAAGAGCAAGATTACTATTAATATTGTAGAAACATCCGCTCCTGTATTTATGCCCTTTAAAATGAACGAATAAAACATTTTTATTTTGTAAGAGGCACGAGATCTTATTGAACAATAAATGAATTAGTAAGTTGGAAATTAAATTTCCAACTTACTAATTCTTTTATAAAAATTATTTAATAGCATTTTTCTCAAAAGAAGCACTTTTAACTTTTTACAAAGTAATATTAAGCATTTTAAATCTTTACCATTGCTCTTAAAAATATATAACTATATTTTATTATCAAATAAACGACACTAGTGAGGTATCTTACCAATTCAGTAACTGCCAATAAAAAAATAATGAGTAAATCTTAGGCGAATATCACACTGCTCCGCGACACGCAACGGTGTGCGAGACGACGGAGTCACGCACGCGGTTGCTGAGACGTCACCTATTTATGCCGCCAAGTACTAATGTTAGCAATTACAACACAGTAATTACCCAGTTTCGAAGATTAAAGGTGCTGGTGAAATTATAGGCACATGGGCCTTTTCAATTTACGTCACAGGGTGATGGGCATTACGTTGCAGTGGGAGTGCCCTTGAGATCTTTGCAATTGAAATCTCTGAGCGTATCGCTTATCACCAGGCGTAGAACTTGCTTGTCCCGTCATTTGGTGTCATAAAAAAGCACAGATCTACGTCAGCGCTTGGTTTCCTCCGTGCAGGGGCAGCGGTATTGCAGCTTCGCGCCACATAGGGATCGCTTCTTCTAAATACCGAAAAAGCACAAGTATACTACTTGTCTGCGTCTCGGGGAGCGTGAAGAGCCCTCTTTATACACTTAGTCTCGCGCGCGGGAAAGCCTGCATGAGCAATCGTGCGCGCTTACCTGTTTAAAAACCTGTTTACCTGTTTAGTGTGTAAAAACGGAGAAGCGTTGTCAGTATGCTTTACGCCGCGTGTTTTCTATACAAACTGAGATACTTCGGGAGAACTTTAAAAAATGCAGCTTCCCACGTTGCGTGGCGCGGAGCAGTGTGAAAGAAGCCTTAACAGCAACATAGGTTATCGTGATACAACAGCATGCTACGACTTATTAAGCATAAATTTGCAAGCTGCGTCTTCAGTTTGTTCCAATATATTGCGTTAGTAACACGTGTATTTTTCTAAACGTGTTATATTATATAAACGGACTTTTTGTTGAAGATTTTTCGATCGTCCGAATCGGCATTGTTTTTACTTAATTTTTGCAATACGTCAATAAATTCAAGCAACTCAAAATGATTGTGGAAATATTAGTATTCTTAATAACATTTATTGCGGTATTCATTATATATATTCACAAACAAGCGAAGGACAAATTTAGACAATACGACGTGAAATTCATGCCGTGTTGGCCTATATTCGGCAACACCTACAACAGCATAATGGCGAAGAAACACATGTACGAAGACATCGACGCAGTTTACAAAGCTTTTCCGGATGAGAAGTTAGTATCTAATATCTATCAATGAGGTCTATGAAGTTTACTTATTCCATTGGGAGGTTGACGTGTTATATCCTATATAATATTTAAAAGCAGTAGAGGTGCTTGTGAAAAGTTCGTCCAGGGAAGTACTGTCACCTTACCTATTTATGCCGTCAAGCAGTAATGTGAGCATTACGGCGTTCCGGTTACGAAGGGTAAAGGTGCATGGGACTTGTCAACTTATGTCTTAGGGTGACGGGCAATGTGTCATTGGCGGTGCTCAGATCTTTGCAATTTAAATCTCTGCGTGGAACTGCAACTGTAATGGATAGACGTGTCGTTTACTACCCGCTCACGCGATGCGCTCCTCCTACCGCAAAATGGCGGCTATTTGGTTTCGCAAATTAGAAAAGTATTCAGTTTAAATACAGTTTTTATAAATAAAAATTATTATTCTGCATTGCTAAATAAATACCGTCCGTACTACCAACAAAAACATCTTAAATAAAATGCAGTAATACACCGCAAATCCTGCACTTAAAAAGCACTAATGAAATTTTTGGTATACTTAGATAAATATAATAATATTCCGTTTAAGTGGTTCTAACGTTTACCATGAAATTACTCCTTAAAGTATAGTTGATAAATATTTTTTTTTAAATGACAGACCCAGGCAATAAAAACTTTATGGTTTGCTAGAGCAGTTACCGAAATAGCAATTAATATTAGTTCTTTTACCTGTTATAACTTCGATATCCGATAAATCGGTATAAAATCATCACCGGCACCTCTAGGTGTGGTATGCGTCTACGGCTGCATGTATCGCGTGAGCGGCTACCAGGCGCACGTCTGGTTCGTCCCGTATATATTAGTTGACCTTAATCATTGTTGCAAGAGATACCTCTTTAGGAGTGAACCTTATCTTCCATGCAAAAGGTTTTTCAAAAAAATTATAAAAACTTTGTTGGTTTAAGAGAAACGTTGTTTTGTACTATAATCTTATATACAAATTGTAAACTCTTTGTTTCCCAAATAAGAAATAAATGAACAAAGCAATGTCCTGTTTCAGATACGTAGGTTACATCGAGGCCACAGAGCCCATACTCCTGGTTCGCGATCCTGAGTTGATCAAGACTATCACGGTGAAGGATTTTGACCACTTCGTGGACCACAAGCAGTTCTTCCCTGCGGAGGTCGACCCTTTGCTCGGGGACAGTGTATTTAGCATGAGAGGTGAAAATTCAAATGGACTTTTGTGGTTAATACTTAATATGTTTTATATATATTGCTTTGTTATGATCTTGAGTTCTCGACTTAAAACGTTGTATTGATAGAAAACTAAACTTTCTTTGCGAATTTGGAAATTATGTTTATCTTTCTAAAGACACATTTCACAATTTCCCGTCGCATTGTAGACAGTTTCCACACTACAATGTGCAAGCGTAGCACGTCTCTGGCGCGCAGAATAGACGCAAGCAGCAGCAATAGCATTCTTAACGTGATTGCAAACAGACTCGACAGCCATATCTTACTAATTGCGGCAGGGTTCATACAAATCATTTCAATAATGGTGCTAATTGGACGTAGTTAAACATAAAGGATCCAATGCACATCCAGTCACTTTCGAGGTATGGTAGTTTGAAGTTTAAAAGCGTTTCTCACTTTTTTTAAATTTATAATATCATGTAACTCCAGAGATATTTACTTATGTTTAGATGTTAGATTGTTTTTGCTTATCCAAGATGTTAAGATTTTGGGAACCGTTTGGTTCATATAATTCATTTTTTGATAATTTTGTGGATTGGATTCTTTTTGCTTAACTACGTCCAATTATGCATAAATAATATGTTTCTTAAGTTGTTATAGTATAAATCGAATTTTTGTGTTGATGATGTTATAAAGTCATTATAATTTGTAAGTGACTAATATAAGTAGCTAAACTATAACCAGTGACCCAAAAAAATCTCACCTCAAAAGTTCGTGGCACAGACTAAACAAAGTTCGTGAAATTACATCTATGTATTTACAAAATTTTATAGAAATCCGGAAAGTGGTTACCGCAAAGTGCGCGAAACCGGATTCGTCCCTTAGTTTGCCACCCTTAGAGGTGGAATGTTTTCTTCAAATTTAATGGGACCAGTACTGAGATATCCTCTTTCCAACGAAAAAAAGAATCATCAAAGCCGGTTTACAAATGCGGAGTTGTCGCGTAACATACATACAAAAAACAGATATAGTCGAATTAAGAACCTCCTTTCTTTGAAGTCGGTTACGAAACGGCTTTTTACGCCGTTTCAATCAAAGAAAGTCTGTTGATTCGGTTTCTAGCAGTTGATTAAGAGCCTCGAACTTTTGAGGTCGGTCTTGTTTTTATAAAAAGTTACAATTATAATTATTAATACAAAGATCGAACACTCAGAAAAAATTCCTTCGATCCCATTGACTTACAAATAAATGGACGACGGGTCTAATACAAAAACCACGAAAAAAATGTCCCAAGTCAACCTATTCGAAATTTAAATTGTAATGTCATCGCAGTATCGCGCTGTCAGTCGAACAAATGAAGACTAAAGCGGAGTTTGGCGCTCTGTATACGATTTTAGCGCCTTACAAGTGCGGACACTTTTTAGCGCGGACCCGACGTCCATATAATTGTAAGTCAATGTTCGATCCGGTCGGATTCGAACCGACGTCTTCTTGCACACCGTGTCAGACGCTATAACAACTAAGCCACGGAACGAACCAACGGACCTTACGAATTTTTCTATGTGCTTGCGTCGTGTCTTTGTATTTGGTTTTTCAACGACTTTTTAGTCGTAATTGAATATCAATTCAATAAAAATTTAATTAATACAGTGAATAGCGACATCTCTCGCCAGGACTGGTAGCTGCAAAGTTACTAACTGGGTGATACATCTTTCATAGATTTCTCATAGATGGCGCTACGACTAAAAAGTCGTAATAGAAAGCTTTGCTTGCTGTCATTCGGACTTTTTTCCTTTTTTACTTTCTCAAACTCGTATCTTAAATGTTATTGTACCATATAAATAAAGCACTAAGTTACTGAAATGCAAAAAATGCGTTATAGTATATACAAATTTTGCAGGCTAATTTCACATTACATTTCCTTCACATACTGGCTTTTACTTATTCTTAAAGTAATGGATTAATAATAAATTTAAAATAAATAGAAGGTTTTGCCATCTCCTGAATAATTTATCTTTCTAAAATACGAGTTTGAGAAAGTAAGGCATTTATTACCACTTAACATAGCATTAGTGTTACTTTGTTTATAGATGATAATCCCGTAAGAACATATTACATTCAAATTCTACACAATCGCCTTTACAATAATCAAAATGAAACTTCGTTTCAGGTGAAAAATGGCGCGACATGCGAACGACCCTCAGCCCGGCGTTCACTGGCTCCAAGATGCGACACATGATGCCTTTTATGACCGAGATCAGCCAGAACATCATCACGTATTTGAAAGGTAAGTCATACATTGCTTCACTTAAAATATGTTTTAGTTTTTTATTTATTGATTTCATCAAGACAACTATGATCCAATCAACGTTAGTAGGTACAGCCTTAAAACTATGTTAGTACTTAAATTCTATAACAGAGTTTGTAGTCTGTCTGCCGCATCACAGGGCAGTCAACACTTCCACATCTTAAGGAGGTTATTGGGGCTGACACTTTTACAGATGACAGCTATGAAACTGTCCATTCGCGCATTCGTAAACATGGCTGAGGCACTGTAGAAACGTGACAGCCTCAACAGCATCCTAAATATTCATCATCAAGATGTCAGGCGAAATTGTTTCCAAAAATATCGCTACAATGACGAGACTTGCACTGATCGCCGTTGGTTAATGCGTCTTCCGATCACTAAGTATATCAAATTACAAGGCATTGTCTTAAAACAGGTGGATACTTTAAAATATACAATTGAGTTACAAGTAAATTGTTTGTATTTATTAATGTATTACAAAGTTTTCCAAAGTCTGTGTACATGAGAATCTAAAACGCGAGGTAGTTATTCACAAAATTCAGTTTTCTATCAAATAATGTGTTTCTTATCATTTTGTTGTTTGGTTCACTGCCTTACTTTGGATTACTTCGGAAAAAATATCATAAAGAATGGCATAGGAAGCCAATATTTTGATATTACATAGTTTATTGTTTATGTAACATTATTTTCTATTATTCAAGTAGATGCTTAAGTTTTGTGTGAAAGATTGCTTATTTTATTTCTTCGTTTTTATGGATGAGCAGCTTTCGCTGATATGTCTATGAAATATTAGTTTTTATAAATAACTTTTATCTTCGGATGCGTTCTGAATTTACACCTCATCAATTTTTATTCTTGGTTGTACTTTTATTTGGTGTGATTAAGTGATTATTGAAATTATTTTAGTTCTTCAACGAATTAAAATAATTTAATAAACATAATTAGTTATCGTTGTCAATTTAATGTCAACAATAATAAGAATAAAATATACCAACGGATTTTTATTACATAAATAAGTAATGTACGACAAATCGCGTAGTGGAACGGGTCATTACCCTTAGAATAATAACGCATAGAATGATAGTTTCATATCAAACGAACTGTCACAAGTGAGGCAAAAATCAAATTCATGTAGGCTAGTTTTAGTAGTAGGTTAATTTTCGGTTTTAGTGAATATTTATATAAAAATACAAGTTGAAACGCGTTACTTCCTTGTGGAATGTGATGTTAGTATCTATTTTATGTTTGTCTGACGTATTTTTACACTCATTTACCGCACATTTCGTCATTTTTAGCTAAAATTCTTGATCTGTTCGCGGTGCGAGTTGACCTTGAGCACTGAAGGCCCGCCCGCTCGTGTAGGCCCTTTTGGCGCGCTTCAATTTGCCTCGCTTAGCGTGTGCGGACTAGGTTTCTATGCGTTATTATTCTAAGGTCACCTTTATTTTCATTGAAAGAAAAGTTATGTACACCACAGTCCATCGCTAAGTTCGAATTTCAAAAACCTGTTCCACGCTAGCGCGCAAAAAACGCTTTTGAGCGCTGATTTCTAATGAGAGAGAGAGCTTTTCCGAGCTAATGGGGTGAAAAAGTTAATAATGAGGGGTATTCATGTAAAACATGTTTATTAATATAATTTTTAATCTGTGCAGAAAATGTAAAAGAAAACGAAGACGTAAATATGCTCGACCTCACCCGTCGGTACGCCAACGATGTTATCGCGTCAACTGGTTTCGGCGTCGTTGTCAACTCCGTCAAGGACAGAGACAATGAGTTCTTCAAGCTCGGTGACGCTGTCTTCAATTTTACCACAAAGCAGAGGATCGTGTTCTTACTTTCCGGCATTGCGCCAAAGCTTTTGAATGTAAGAATTGAAATAGAAAATAGCCATTCACCAGCAAACTATACTTCGTGCATGTTAAAAATGTAATAGAAATTAAAACCAACCAACTACATAGTATAAATTCATTATGACTTAGCCTATGACTACTTTGTACAGTATTAACGACGTGAATATCCACTTTTCGTAGTACTCTTGAAGAGCGTGTCACGCACTGCTGGCACCGCTTAAGCATGTCCGGTAGATTGTAATGTAGCCTCCACACACCTTGCTTAGTAAGTTTCAAATTCAAAATTCAAAAGGAAAAATAAATAGTGGAAATAAATCTGGTTTTATAAAAAAATATTTTAAAGTTTTTTTAACCTTTTAAATGTTTATCGCATAAGAGATTTTTGGTAATTGGTAAACGGGTCGAAATTAGACAAGCACCACTGCTCGCTTCAGCGATTGGGCAGAGAGTGACGACGAAACGTAACAGAATGAGAAGAACGATTCAAAATTTGAAAACATGTGTCCAAGAAACAGAAAGGGTGATCAAAAGGTGAGGTGATGGTGGAAAAAGGTCATATCGTCACACTTTGTACTGATTACGAGAGTACTAATGCTTGTACTCCCAACCTAACTAATAATAGAAGAGGAACGTGACAAAGTAGTGATGAGAAAGATGTACGAAGAACCGGATTTATTCGCCCAAAAGAAAAAACCAAGATGGATTTGTTTTTGCTTGTTGTTCTTGGTGTTAAAGGTTCTTAATTTACATGGACTACAACGATTGAAAATTTACATCCTCGTTAAATTCAGCATAAATGGTGCCAGTACTCATACTAAGTTGTTTAGGTCCTAAAGTGGAATTCACGAAACCCTCATCAAATTCTTCGTCTCAAGAAATATACAAAGGAAATGACCTCGGCCTCACTGCAATATAAAGAACTACCACCTACTGTAATTGAGGAAGTTGATGGAAGACGATAGTAGAAAGTTGGATTTTTCAAGATGGATTCAACCTTTAGCAACGAAGAACTCAATAAAGCAATACCAATAACATTGAGGATTTGTGAATACCAAACTATTTGCATGCCATTGCTATTTTCTTTTAGAAATATGAGTAACTTGAAGGAATAGTACGTGCGCATAGTGAAAAACGATGATCGTGTTTGTTTTACAGAAACTAGGGATCCAGTTGTTTCCTGAATATACGATCAGATTCTTCAGAGAGCTGGTGTCAACTACAATTGACTACAGAGAGAAAAACAATGTTGAACGTCCTGACATGATCCACCTGCTGATGGAGGCTTCAAAAGGTTTATTATTTCGTTCGAGTTTTGTGTTAATTGGAGATCTATTATACAAATTTACAGAAAGTACATAAATGAAGACGGTAACGGCCTAACCCTATTTGAATACTTTATAGGAAAACTGAAAGATAACTCTAATGGAAACGAAAAAGATAACGTTGGCTTCGCTACAGTAGATGAAGCTTTGAAACCGCGGGGTGTAACAAGGAGTAAGTTACTATTGTTATTTTAAAAATTACCATTACCAAAGTGAAGAGTCCACTTCTATAATAGACTCTCGTACAAAAAGTACTTATTTTAATGAAATTTTCCAATTTTTGCTAACAGAATGGACCTTCGACGAGTTGACTGGTCAAGTTTTCATATTTTTCTTGGGTGGTTTCGAAACTACCGGTAGCACTCTGGTAATGATTATACACGAATTAGCGATAAACCCACACATTCAGGACAAATTGTACCAGGAGATCAAAGAGTTCAAAGAGAAGAACGGCGCTTTGACGTACGACAACATCGGAGATTTGAAGTATTTGGACTGCGTTTTGAATGGTACAATTCTATGATTATTCATAAATCTTCATATATAATGATATTTTTATTAAATATCGTTGTCGGATACGATGTTTTGTTACTTAGCATCCAAAATGTATTGTCGATTACAGAAACATTAAGGAAATGGTCACCTGCAGTTATAATGGACAGAGTTTGTACAAAAGCCTATGAACTGCCTCCACCTAGGGAGGGAGGCAAGTCATTTAAAGTAAGTATTAATTTGCTCTTTAAACGACATGAAAATATTTTGTAAATTGGCAACAAGAAGCTATATAATATGAAACTACGTACCTATGCCTAACTCAAATTACTTTTTGTTAATTACTGCATTATAGATGTAATAACTCCTACTCTACTCTAGTAATATGTAGTATGGGTAAGATGTGTACTTCGAGCCATGACCACCCCGTCTTATCGGAAGCGACATTTTTACTTAAACAGCGTTTTTTATTGTAAATGATATTTTAAACTAGGTATGACAGACAAGAACGGGTCGATATTTCCCGTCAATTTTACATTAAATAGACATTGTAGCTTTTGCTAAGTTTATCGTTAGCTCAAGTGTTCTTTTATATTGTAGTGTAACCGACAAAATCAATATTAAAAAATCAATCATAACCTAAGCGATCCCACTTGTTATCGCAACCGACGTAGTACATTACAATTTCGTCGTTTGCTATAACAAAGTGGCAAAGAACGTGTTGCATCTTGTGACATATTTTTAAACGCTTGAAAATCTCAAAACATTTTTAGATAGAGATAGCAAGAATATTGTAAGCGCCAAAAAAGCTTTTATTCCATTGTTTAAATAAAGTGCTGTTACATCACTATTACATTAAAATTCAATTAGAAAAACATAAAAACCCTCTCCTGTAAAATTTGTTTTCACCTCACTAGCTCGGAAAGGCTTTCTTTCTCATTAGAAATCGCGCGCAAAAGCGTTTTTTCCATGCTAGCGTGGAAAAGGCTGTTGAAATTCGACCTTGACTGTGGTGCACCTTTTTCCGATGAAAAAAAACCTTTATGACACGTTCAACTACGTGATTTGTCGTAAATTATTTATGTAATATAATTCCGTTGGTATATTTTATTTTTATTATTGTTGACATTAAATTGACAACGATAACTGATTTGTTACAGTTTAACTGTTTTTCTTTCATCAACCGTTTTCCTCGCTATAGTGAGGTGAAAAGTTATTTGTTCTGCCCGGCAGCATAGTCGTTTTGCGTCTCGTCTCAGAATTCACTCGCGTCATACAACAACTTTGCGGCCTTGCATAACAAATAACTATTTTTGTCGCTTACCCTAAGTCGATGATAATGGCTCGATTTGTTTGTATACTAAAAACCTTTTTATTTACATCATAGTTAAAACCTATGTTTAAAACCCATAGTTTTGCCTCCGTGGCCGAACGGTTACCATGCCGGACTGCCACGCAGAGGTCCCAGGTTCGATTCCCGGGCCGAGAGAAATAGTTGTATGGCTTACAATTATATCTCTCGTGAGTTTGGGTGTAATTTGTAGTTGTCTATGTGTGTGTCCATGGCACCCGCGACACAGGATTTCCCTAGTGCGGGGCTATGTTGAGTGTGTGCGTTATTTATTATTTATAGTTAAAACCAGGAGACATAGTGTACAACGTGGTGAACTCTATCCAGCTAGATGAGAAGTACTGGCCTGATCCGGAGAAGTTCAATCCCGATAGATTCTCGGATGAGAACAAGAATAACATCAAGCCATTTACCTTTACGCCTTTTGGTGTCGGACCTCGAAACTGCATTGGTAAGTTGTGTTTCGTAGTCTGATAATAAATTCTAACAGTAGAAATATAGTTTTCAATATAGTATTTTATGCAACTAGTTCATAATGAGGTTTCCGAAAGTCGAGTACAGTGTTTAGGTAATATTTAGGTGTGAGATTTTTTGACCTAATTATGTAATGATTGCATACAATACTTTTTCTATGAGTGAATTAAAATAATGAAACACAACCAATATTTAATGTATATTTTGTTAACTATCCACGTCAACAAACTCAAATTGAAAGCCAAACAAACGCTATAACCGCTCACGCGATACATGCAGCCGTAGACGCATACCACACCTAGAGGTGCCGGTGATGATTTTATACCGATTTATCGGATATCGAAGTTATAACAGGTAAAAGAACTAATATTAATTGCTATTTCGGTAACTACTCTAGCAAACCATAAAGTTTTTAATGCCTGGGTCTGTCATTAAAAAAAATAAACAACTTCAAAAATACGTCACGACAATCATGTGTGTTATTGTTTGGGCTGGCGATTTCGGTGTTTATTTATTGAAAACATATCGTAAGTAGTGTTTTTTAAGTTTACCCTGAATATAAATGTTTATAAACTATACTTTAAGGAGTAATTTCATGTTAAACGTTAGAACCACTCAAACGGAATATTATCATATTTATCCAAGTACACCAAAAATTTCATTAGTGCTTTTTAAGTGCAGGATTTGAGGTGTATTACTGCATTTTATTTGAGATGATTTTGTTGGTAGTACGGAGGTACTGATTTAGCAATGCAGAATAATAATTTTTATTTATAAAAACTTGTATTTAAACTGAATTCTTTTCTAATTTGCGAAACCAAATAGCCGCCATTTTGCGGGAGGAGGAGCGCATCGCGTGAGCGGATAAAACAAAAACCAAAGAGATAGAAGTGTCTGTGATTGGCCAAGCACTGCTTATATTTTAACCAATCAGGAGGCAGTAGAGGGTTATATTTTTTTAAATGTTCTTTTTTTAAAAATTGAGTTGAATTTAATAATTCTATTAAGGAACACAGTGACGCGTTTTAGGAAACTCTATTCATTAGCAAAACTACGACGTTCTTTTTTGAAATTCATTATAGTACTGTATAGAGCAGTATAATGAAATTTTTCTGTCGTGCTATATAGCCACGCTACCCCATTTCTTTTATTATGTTATTACCCACATTAATGTACGGCTAAAGTACACGATGTACTCAGTTCAGTAGTGAGCATGTAGTGAGCTGTGGGAGTGTAGCCGTGGTTTTAGCGTAGTGAGAGGTACTTTTTAATAAGAAACGAGGAATAGTTTCATGATTAAAGATTTACTGTGAGCGTTCAGTTTGAAGATTTGAACAAATTTCTATTTTTTATACAATTCTAAATATAAATTAGTACAATCCTAACCAGCCTGTGCTACAGTACTATAGACAGTAGAATGTTGTGTCAACGACTTTATCACTTTGAATTTATTAAGCGACATGTATCGTAGTTGTCTTGACTTACTCTCGTGACTAGTTTTAGGCTAATTTTCTAGAGTAACTCATTTTCGGTCTAGCACTTTACATATTGTTTTGTAGGAGTATTTCAATTTCCACTACTGTTAATTAAAACTGTATCGTTCTTATTACAAGTGGGATCGACTAGCTATTACACAACCCACTGCTGGGCAGGGATTTCGTCTAAGAAGAGGGTTTAGCCGTTATCCACCACGCTGACCCAATATGGGTTGACAACCACACAATTTTTAAGGGTTATATTTGCAGTCAATGCGTGCAACCCCCGTTCCTTTCTACATATATATTTTCATTTCAATTTCATAGTAGAATGCTTAAAAAAGCTCCTTGTGTTATGGTTTTATTGATATTAATGATTGGTTTGATATGGTTTACAAAATTATAATTGATAGATTAAAGGACAGGAGTAGAGAAAACGGTTTGGAAAATATTGATATTATGTACAATATAATGATGAACATTTCTTATTTTTAAAACAGGATCGAGATTCGCAATACTAACACTGAAGGTCCTTCTCTTCGATCTGGTATCCAACTACAAGATTGTCAAGGGCGAGAAGACACTTGATCCGATTGTCTTGGAACCTTTTAATTTTACCATTAAGCCTAAAGGAGGCTCTTTTGTGCGATTGGAGCAGAGGGTTTAAAAGATTCTTTTAAGTAGGGGGATTCTAAGCGAGAACGATAAAATAATTTTCAAAAAAAGCAGGTGTACGTACTACACGAATAGGGTAATATGACTGCGTTGATAGCTATATAATTATAATTGAAAACAAATATGACATTTGTTACTGTTTTGTCACGTCAAATACATATTTACGATAATATCTGAATTGAGTTACTTTTTACTGTGGGTTCCTCTGATACTGGTCAGACAAAATAAATATAAAAATGCGAATATTTACTGTGTTTTTTATTTTCATGACAATTTTGTAGCAGTAGAACTCCTGGTGAAAGAGTTTGTCCAGGGAAGTACTGCCACCTTACTTATTTCTGCCGCCAAGCAGTTGACAAGTCAAATGTGCCTGTAATTTAACCAACACCCTTACCCCTCAAAACAAGAACGCAGTAATGTTAACATTACTGCTTGGCGGCAGAAATAGGAAAGGTGGCAGTACTACCCTAGACGAACTCTTTCACAAGGACCTCTACTGCTTATAAAATATTCTATTATTAAAATATATTATACCTGCTGTTAAAATATTTTACATTCGGATATAATTTTGGTCCTGTAGACTCGACTAAGAGATTTTTTAGGTATACCATTCTTTTAACCTACAAGACATATTTGTCTGCTCCAAAAAACCATTCCTGCCAATAATATATTTTAACCGATTTCAAAAAAAGGAGGAGGTTCTCAATCGACTTTTTTTGTATGTATGTTACGCGATAACTCCGGCCGGCATTTGTGAACCGAGTTTGATAATTCTTTTTTATTCGAAAGAGGGACTCTCAGTATTGATCCCATTTAGAAGAAGAAAATATTCCACTTGTAACTATGGCAAACTAGGGGATGTATCCGAGGATGATTCACGCACTTTCCAGTAACCGATTTCGATAAAACTTGGCAAATAGATGTAATTCTACGAACTTTTGGGGTCGGTTTTCTTAGTACTAAGACTATTTCCTAAATGATTTTTTCTCTGAATATGCTGCCCCCTTTTTTTTTTACGAAATCTGAGAATGTATTGAATCAACAATCTTGCAGAGCTAATATTGTGTATATATTTTTTATTGTACACATATTATATTGTATACAATGTGTTGATTTGCATTCTCGTCATATTTACAGAGGTCTATATATAGAAGCCAGGTACTTCTAGCAATACTTTCATGTGATCTAAAGTTGGTAAGTACCAAATCTAAGTTACAAAAAAACTTTTTTCAGTCAACTTTTATAAATAATGTAAATAAATAGTAAATTATAACAATACTAGTACATAATCATAATTAAAACAATAGGTAAATAAGCGATCGAGAAAGATTACGTATCGCTCGGTGAAGCGGGTGGCGGGGTCACTGCCCTTGCGTGGTGCATACGACTTCGAGACAATTTTGCAAAACTTTACTAGATACTATTAGCCAGAATCTTGAACAGAAGATTTTTTTAAATATTTTTAGATGATTATTTCCATTATTAATTTCGGCGAATTTAAAAATTAAAATATGAAGAGAATGCAAATCAACACACTGTATGTAGGTGGTAATTTCGATATAAGCAGTGAATATTATCATATGCCGCTTTTCTTTTAAGGATTTCTTAAATGTTTTACGAATTCATCATTCAATTCTTCGCTGTAATTCCAACTCGACAAGTTAAGACAATATTGAAATGCTTTTGAAATATTTTCATAGAATAAGAGCTGTGAATTGCAAAAAATCTTTGGTAAGTTTTCTTTAAGATTCAAGTCACATTGAAAGGGCAGAGGCGCGCATGTAGAGCAGCTAGTATGGTGCCTGTTTCAAGTAGTCTTTTTTTATTATACTAAGTGACAGGAAGAACAAGTCGTGCATCTGATGAAAAGCGACACGTCTGTCCATAACAGTTGCGGTGCTATTCAGAGCTTTAAATCGCAAAGATCTGAGGGGTATAACCACTGCGCCCGTCACCATGAGACAAGTTGACAAGTCCCATGTGCCTGTAATTTCACCAGCACCCTTACCCTTCCAAACCAGAATGCAGTAATGTGAGCATAACTGCTTGGCGGTAGAAATGGGTAAGGCGGCAGTACTTCCTTGGACGAACTCTTTCACAACGATTTTCGTCTACTGCTACCCGGTCACGCGATGCGCTCCTCCTACCGCAAAATGGCGGCTGCTATTTGGTTTCGCAAATTAGAAAAGCATTCAGTTTAAATACAAGTTTTTATAAATAAAAATTATTATTCTGCATTGCTAAGTAAATACCCTCCGTACTATCAACAAAAACATCTCAAATAAAATGCAGTGATACACCGCAAATCCTGCACTTAAAAAGCACTAATGAAATTTTTGGTGCACTTCGGTAAATATGATAATATTCCGTTTGAGTAGTTCTAATGTTTACCATGAAATTACTCCTTAAAGTATAGTTTGTAAACATTTATATTCAGGGTAAACTTAAAAAACGCAACTTACGGTATGTTTTCAATAAATAAACACCGACATCACCAGCCCAAACAATAACACACACGATTGTCGTGACGTATTTTTGAAGTTGTTTATTTTTTTTAAATGACAGACCCAGGTATTAAAAACTTTATGGTTTGCTAGAGTAGTGACCGTAATAGCAATTAGTATTAGTTCTTTTACCTGTTATAACTTCGATATCCGGTAAATCGGTATAAAATCATCACCGGCACCTCTAGGTGTGGTATGCTTCCAGAGAAGCATGAATCGCGTGAGCGGATAAAGATCCATTTTAATTTTACAAGGAACTCTACTGCTACTAAATATTTCCTCCCAGCCCGGGTATCGAACTCGGGATGTATCGTGCCAAACCAGCATGGTAACCGTTCGGCCACAGAGGCAGTTGAAGTTGCCTGCTGTTGTCAATGTTCTACAGGATATATCACGAAGAATGTGCGATAGAATTGCGTGATTTAATTCCGCCTTCCCCGTTCCATCATCGTGGGACTAGACGTAGGCTGAGGTTCCACGCCTATGTTATGAATATTCCATAGATTCGCACGAAGCCTTCCATATCCACATTTATATGGCGAACGGCTATAAGGAGTGAAATTCCCTGCCTGCATACTTGTTCCCCGAATGCTATAACTTGGGCCTTTTCAAGGCGAGAGTGAATAGGCATAATTTAAGGGTGCATGGCCACATCGTCGACTTCATCGTCGCTTTCCAACAAATGAGAATCTTATAAAAAAGAAAGAAATGAAAACAAAGACGCGATTGTGCGTCGAAATTTGTTTTTTATTTCCAATATAAATATTAAATTTTAAATGCTAGACATTAATTTCTGCACTAACAATGCTTACTTTATACCTGAAATGTCTTCTATGTATATTGCTAAGTAAAATGTAAAATTTCTGTCAAATTCTGGCAACATTGGTTTAAAATGATGAAATGACTGTTATTAACACTTAAGAGATATTGTTAAGAGCACATATCTATTTTTGAAACTTTAATTATTACTATAAATTACCACTTAAATTAACATTTTAAACTCTTTGCTCCAATCGCACAAAAGAGCCTCCTTTAGGCTTAACGTTGAAATCAGTACTGTCTAAGACGATTGGGTCAAGGGTCTTCTCACACTTGATAATCTTGTAGTTGGAGACCAGATCGAAGAGAAGGACTTTCAGCTCCAATATTGCGAATCTTGACCCTGTGTTTAAAATAATAAAAAAAAAATTTCAAAATCCGGACTTAATCGTGTACAAAACGTGTTTTATTTACTTAACGTTTCGGACGTGTTGCAATGTCCATGGTCTCGAAAGGACTGAAGATGCTTTCAACGATATACCAACAGGTTAAAGTTTAAATTGTATTCAGTCCAAAATTTGCTATTTTTTTAAATTTGAAATTATCATTATTAAGATTTCGTAGTGTTTCAAATTATAAATATGTGAAATTTGACGACAGCGGTTTTGAGTGTGACAGAGGAGGCATTTTCATTGTTTTCTTCTTCCGCGTTCGAGACCATGGACGTTGAAGTAGGTACGTCCGAAACGTCGAGGTAAATAAAATGCGTTTTATACACGATTAAGTCTCGAGTTTGAAATCAAATAATGAGAGAAAATCGTGAAAATTTCAATCAATGTAAAATAAGAAATGTTCAGCATAGTATGAATGTCAACGTCCTCCAAAAGGTATTTGAAGATTTTCTAAAATATAGATATTTGAATTCTACGTCACTAATCACTTTAATTCCCATTTTATTTAAAGCAAACTTAATCTGAACCATTGACTTACAATTATATGGACGGCGGGTCCGCGCTAAAAAGTGTCCGCACTTGTAAGGCGCTAAAATCGTATACAGAGCGCCAAACTCCGCTTTAGTCTTCATTTGTTCTACTGACAGCGCGATACTGCGATGACATTACAATTTAAATTTCGAATAGGTTGACTTGGGACATTTTTTCGTGGTTTTTGTATTAGACCCGTCGTCCATTTATTTGTAAGTCAATGATCTGAACACAAATATAACATAACTCTAACAGTGGTGTTTCAAACAATGCTCTATTCTCAAGGTAGTACTATCAGATAACGAAACACAACTCACCAATACAGTTCCTAGGCCCCATACCAAAAGGCATAAATGTAAAAGGCTTAATGTTATGTTTGTTCTCGTCAGAGAACCTTTCAGGGTTGAACTTCTCTGGTTCAGGCCAGTACTTCTCGTCCATGTGGATGGAGTTCACCGTATTGTAGAGATAGTCTCCTGGGTTTAACTAAAAAAAAAATTTTAATGTACACATATACGCGCTATTGGCGTAGAGAAAGATGTTCACTTGTTACAATTCCTGAGTACCAGAACATTTAGAACTGAGCTAATTTGGAAAAGGTAATTTCAAATCATTGCCCTCACGGGTCATCGAAATTATCAACTATTGTTGAACCTCGACAAGGTTTCAAATTTGTTTTTTTAAGTATTTGCGATTTTATTACAATCTCATTCGAGCGGAAACATCATTCGATTACATGTATCATGTTTTTACAGATTCTAATTGCCAACTATAGTTGACCATGTACGTTGACATTGAAAAATATTTTCATGTCGCTTTAGGGAACTAATTAATACTTACTTTAAATGATTTGCCTCCTTCCCGAGGTGGTGGCAGTTCATAGGCTTTCGTGCAACATCTGTCCATTACCACTGCAGCTGACCACTTTCTTAAGGTTTCTGCAACGGATAA